CTCTGTGTCTCAAATGAATTAAAAAAAAAATCTTTAAAAAAAAAGAATGTAGATAATACTAAAATGTAGTAAAATAATTAGGAAGTGATGTGTGTTAGGTATATTTGTTTAATCTGATTTATTTCACTGTAAGTTTATAAAATGTAATCTCCAATAATGCCTGTGTTAAAGTTGCAAAATGCCTGAAAACTTAGCAATCAGCTCTCATTGGCATTTGTTCTGGCCAGCTGTTCCAGCACACCACTGGGATGGACAGGAGTGACATGCAAGAGAGCTGGAGCCTCAGCCTCCTGGCAACAGGGACAGAGAGCAGTCGAAGCAAGAAGTCAGGGGACACTGGTCCTGGTGAGCACTGCACAGGCATCTCAGACCCAGGGTAGCAGTGTTTTCTCCCTCTGCCTCCAGAAGAGCACGCTCTGTCCTCTCTGAGGTTCTAGAATAGGGAAGCAAGTTTCTGCTATCTAGATGACATCTTGGCAAAAAACAGAGAAAGGCTCACCCTCCTGGCAGCAGACCCCTCCAACAGAGCTAGAACACACAGCTTTTCCAGCAGAGCCCAAACCCAGCCCTACTCCCCTGTCTATTGGACACCTTTGTATGGTGAACAGGCTATACAACCGTACCTGTAGCTCCGTGTGGAATGGAGCAGTCTCCCACTGAGACTTGGGAGAGGGGCCCCTTTCTGCTTTCTGACTGGGAGACTGATTTACAAAATGTGTCCCTTTCTGAGAAGACTCCCTTGGGGTGACAGCAGGTAGAGACTACCTCTGGTGTCCCCACGCTCAATGTTATGCAATTATCTTCTTTTTTTAAATTTTATTTTATTATGTTATGTTAATCACCATCCATTACATCATTAGTTTTTGATGTAGTGTTCCATGATTCATTGTTTGCATATAACATCCGGTGCTCCATGCAATACGTGCCCTCTTTAATACCCATCACCAGGCTAACCCATCCCCCCACCCCCCCTCCCCTCTAGCACCCTCAGTTTGTTTCTCAGAGTCCATAGTCTCTCATGGTTCGTCTCCCCCTTCGATTTCCTCCCCTTCATTTCCCCCTTCCTTCTCCTAAAGTCCTCCATGTTAATCCTTATGTTCCACAAATAAGGGAAACCATATGATAATTGACTTTCTCTGCTTGATTTATTTCACTTAGCATAATCTCCTCCAGTCCCAACCATGTTGGTGTAAAAGTTGGGTGTTCATCCTTTCTGATGGCTGAGTAATATTCCATTGTACATATGGACCACATCTTCTTTATCCATTCACCTGTTGAAGGGCATCTTGGCTCTTTCCACAGTTTGGCTATTGCGGACATTGCTGCTATGAACATTGGGGTGCACATGGCCCTTCTTTTCACTACATCTGTGTCTTTGGGGTAAATACCCAGGAGTGCAATTGGTGGGTCATAGGGTAGCTCTATTTTTAATTTTTTGAGGAACCTCCACAGTTTTCCAAAGTGGCTGTACCAATTTGCATTCCCGTCAACAGTGTAAGAGGGTTCCCCTTTCTCCACGTCCTCGCCAACATTTGTTGTTTCTTGCCTTGTCAATGTTATGCAATCATCTTCGAAAGTAGTGGTTCTCACCCCTGGCCACATGCTGGATCATGGGAGGAGCTTTTACAACTCCCAATGACCAGTGCACATGCCAGACTAAACAGGACCCAGTGGCAGACGGGACACAGAAATGAGTTTTCAAAGCTCCCCAACATGCAGCCAAGGTTGAGAGCCACTGACCTGAAGCCGTGCTGGAGCTGGCCAGTGACGTTGGTGGGTAACCACCTGACCGAGAGGTGTGCCTTCCAGCAGCTGCCTTTGGAGAGTTCTGCCCTCCCAACCCTCCTACTCACCCTTCAGCGCCTGGCCAAGTCTGGCCCACAGCAGCCTCAGAAAATGTCAGGCAGGAAACTGGGGGAGACCCAGGACCACTGCTGGGGGAGCAGTGCGGGGTTGACAGGGGCAGGGCCGTGGGGAGAGGACCGCCTCTCTGCTTCTAGTTCTGCAGGAGGCCTGTATCTTCCCTTTGTAAACTTCAGGAAGGAGGGGGCGCTAATGTCCCTTCCAGCTGGACCCCATGGATCCCCTCATCCAGAGAAGTCCAGGGAACATGGTCTGAGGGCAGGGAAAAGGAAGAGCTATGTTGCCCGCACCACCCCCCCACCCCCATCCTCCATCGTTCTCGGGTGCAGAGTCCAGACTAGCTCTTACCCTGTTCCCAGCTTTACTTCTGGGTTTGAGCCCAGAGCCTCCGTGGTTTTGTCCGAGTCCAACACTGATCCCGGGAAAAGCAGGCGGGTGAGAGCAGCGACTTAATGTCATTGGGGGAAACAGCTGCACAGGAAAATCAACCGGGGGTGGTTTCTTAACCAAAACAAGTATGAGTGGACCCAAACTAAGTCTTCAGGGCATTTTCCTCTCTCTGGCTTGGAGGACGTGGTCCAGGCTGCATTACTCACAGGGCTTCAGGATTGCTCAAGACATTGTCACTGGCCACGGGACCTCATCCTGTGACCCTGATGTCAACATGAGACTTTCCAGATCTGTATCCTCCCCACTCCTCCCGGGTAGCCTGTGTCCCAGACTGACCCGACCTCTACCTGGCCAGAAAAGAAAAGAAGAGCAATTCTGTCATTCAGTGGTGTTTCTTGGATCTGTCCCTCAAGCCAGTATTCCTCCCAGGGCTCGTGGCCTGAGTCCAGCCCTGAGGCTCAGGACTGGGAGTGCAGGAGGGGTGTTGGGCAGTCTGTGAGACACACAGCTAAGAGCCCTGGGGAAGTACTTAATGGCCCCTTCTGGTGGTAGAATCAGGAGAGGTTCGCAGGGACTTGCTCAGAATAATTGGGCTTGCATAACTGAAACTGTGGGAAAGGACACTCCCGAGAGAGGGAACCATGGGTGCAAAGGCACGGGGGCACACAGGGGCTGCACGTGCACGTGGCCGTGTGTAGCTGCAGCAAGAGATAGGTCACGGATGAAGGCATGGACCGGACCATGAAAGGCCTTGAGTATTATCTCAAAATACTGATTCCTCTCTTCTGAGGAGTGGCTGAGGGCCAGAACAGGTGACTGGATGCTGAGTAAGACAGCTTTGTCTCCATGAACTCTGCTTTCTCCCTGCCCCCTGGCCGTTGGACCCCCACATCCTGGTGAGTCCTTGACCTCTCCAATTCTCCCCTCCTCTCTGTAGGCCAGACCCTGCCCTCTCTAGCATGGATTGCTGCCGGGGCTAGACCCCTAGCCTCCAGAACTTCTGGACATCCAGCCACCAGAGTTGATTGCACATTAATACTTCATTCGGGGATCAATGGACATGGGGGCACTCTGAGGATCAGGGAGGGAGCATGGCCATTCAAACAGAGAGGTCATCTTTCACATCCCTCATCTTCAACTAAGAGGACCACACAGCACTCAGACGCAGAAAGACCCAGCCCCAGGTACAAATGCCTAACACAGCACACGGGGTCATTTCAAGTGCACAAAAGCTGGTCCTCACCATCCAGCAAGTTCATTGAGGACTCTCAAGCCAAAAACTGCTCACATGAAATAAGTCAATCAGAGAAAGACATGTATCACATGACCTCACTGATATGAGGAATTCTTAATCTTAGGAAACAAACTGAGTGTTACTGGAGTGGTTGGGGGCGGAAGGGATGGGATGGCTGGGTGATAGACATTGGGGAGGGTATGTGCTACGGTGAGCGCTGTGAATTGTGCAAGACTGTTGAATCACAGATCTGTACTTCTGAAACAAATAACGCAACATATTTTAAGAAAAAAGGAAAAGAAGAAGATAACAGGAGAGGAAGAAAAGGGGAGTATGTCAGAGGGGGAGACGAACCATGAGAGATGATGGACTCTGAAAAACAAACTGAGGGTTCTAGAGGGTAGGGGGGTGGGGGGATGGGTTAGCCTGGTGATGGGTATTGAGGAGGGCACGTTTTGCATGGTGCACTGGGTGTTATGAACAAACAATGAATCATGGAACACTGCATCAAAAACTAATGATGTAATATATGGTGATTAACATAACAATAAAAAAATTAAAAAAAAAAAAACTGCTCACATGAAGTGGTTGGAATTTGGGGATTTAGAGAGACCTGGCATCACAGAAGATCATCAGCTGTAGACACACTGCCCCGGGGTTCAGATTCCGGTCCTGACAGTATTGTGTGACTTTGGGCAAGTTATTTAACATTTCTGTGCCTTATTTTCTTTATCTGAAAAGCCATGACAATAGCACCTGCCTCAGAGAATTTGAGAATTAAATGAGATACGGAATATAAAGTACCAGCCTTAATGCCGGGCATGTAGTAGGCACCTAATAAATGATAGCTATTACTGTGATTGCATTTCTTGGGCAGTTTTTAGGCTCTTGAGGCTGAGCTCTCCAAAAGCCCCACTATTCATTCTTTAGAGTTATGTTAGTATTAAACGGAAGCATGACAATTAGCAGATTCACTACTCAGTGAACAGTTTTTGAGACCCTACCGCGTGAGGGGCCCTAAACTAAGTGCTTCACGTGCATTCTGATTGCTGTCACCTTATTAAGGCTGCGGAAACATCCCTAAGGGGCATCCCTCCACTTGCTGGGCCCATCCCTGGAGAGGATCCAAACACCGGCCAGGCTGCAGCTCTGTAAGACACACCTGTCTTTCACAGTTGAACTGTGAGCTCGGAAACCGCCTCCTGGACCCCCCTGGCCGGAGACATCAAACAGAGCGGGTCCCATTGGATGGGCGCTGGAGGGGGCCTTGGCCGGGAGGGGTCTCCCCTTTCTCCCCAAGAGCGCTCTCCGGGGGGGGTGGGTGGCTGGGAGTGCTTCGCACGACAGGAGGGCGGCGGCGGCGCGGATTTCCAGCGGCCTCTCTTTGCCGGCGGCGCGCCGGACTGGCCCTCCCCGCGCAGTGGGCGCAGTGGGCGGATCCGCTCGGGAGCCGGGAGCCATCCGACCCGCCCGCGCGGCTGGGCCCGGGCTGCACCGCCCTCCTCGCGGACCCGCCCGCCCGCCGGAGGGGAGCAGAGCCCCATGCGCTCGAGGCTCCGGGATGAGTAGTGCCGCGTGCGCCCCGGGGCAGAGGGACAGCCAGGCCGCCCCGCCCTGGCCCAGTGATTGATCAGCAGCCCTTACCGAGCCTTTTACTGGTTCGCTTGGATGGGAATTAATTCTGGGATGGATAAATAATGCCTTGAGGTTGGTGTAGTCCAAGGCAAGTCGTCGGTCGGAAGCAAGGAGAGGGAGCCCGAGGGAGCCTCGCCCGCCCGTAAAGCCAGCAGCCATGGGGGCCCGAGACGGGCAGGAGGGGCAGTTGGGCCAGAGGAAGAGAAAAGGGAAGTGGATGACAGCATGATCGGCACAAGGACTCTGGACTGGCGGCTTCTGGAATATGCTGAGCCCAAAGATCAGGCAAGCCAGGAGGGGTAAGTCCAACTTCCTGAGGCGGGTCTGGGCACAGTGTGTGTCTCTTGGCTAACACGTGCAGACACTTAGCCTGCAGGCACTTAGCCGCCTGCTGCACTGGGAGTCAGATGAGGTAGGCATTCCAGACGCATCCTCCTGATTGACATGCCTGCCTAGTGAGGCTCCTGGGGCCTGTGGGAATCAGACCTGAGACGCAAAAAGGCAATGGCCATTTCAGTGCTGTAGCCAGCGTGCAACCCTCACCCCATCGTCTGTGTTTTGCTGAGTTCCTGAGTTGCGCAAAGTGACCAGGTGACAACTTGGGGGAAACTTTGTTTCTTTACTAAAAAGGAAGTGCTTAACGCTCATGATTTGCCCCAGCAGCCAAGACACAAGTGGCCCTCACTAGGGAGGGCCGTGTCCTGGCTTCCGGAGACGGCCAGGTCCAAGGGAGAGTCCTCACTCCTGTGGCCTGGGACGGTGCTCAGTAGAGCCTGCAGGAACTGCCAGGGCTGGGCTGCAGGAAGCAATTCAATTCCTCAGGCAGGCGCTCCCTGGGAGGAGAACTCCCCAGAAGCCGCACAGCCTGGACATAAGAGTGCTGAGGGCACAGACCTAGAGATAAGTCAGAGATGGGAGTCTGGAGAACCTTGCAGGATGATCTTGCGGGACTGGGCTAGTGCCCCAGCCGGCCTGTGTCCCTGCAGAGTGGCCTGGAGACTCAGGACAAGTCCCTGGACTAGGGACAGCATCCAACTTATTGGCCAGTGTCATTTTAGTTAAGAACATCTGTCTTTTAAGAGAATAGAAAGTGTCTTTTCAGGTGGCCAGTGTTTACGGAGGGCTGAGCTTCCCTTTGAGCAGTGAGTTATGAGGACAGGTGGTTTGGGGGTGGGTGGGACATCTGCCTGCAGAGGTTGGAAACAGCATGTCTTGCCCAGTGTGCGTGTGACAGGGACCCTCCAGCCTCCTGTTAGCTCACAGGCAACCCACCCATCTCATTAGCTACTAACGGATGACTGCGGGGTGGGCTGGCCCTCCAGAGCATGGTCACGGCTGTCGGGACCCCTCTGTGGGGTGCTCCAAATGGGCAAATCACCTGTGGGCCCAAGTGGGCAAAAGCAGGCTGTGCATGGCTCTGCTGAAGGCTGGGAGTGCAATCTAGTGACCACATAAAGGGATGGGCCAGGCCATGCATGCCCTTTAAGAAAACTGAAGTCTACCCTCCCAGGCCTGTCTAATGCACTAGTCACTGGCCAGATGTGGCTCTTGAGCCCTTGACATATGGCTAGTCCCAAATTGAGAAACATATGCACTAGATTCTGTTGACTTGGCAGAAAAAAAAGAGTGTAAAATATCTTACTAATAATTATATTGAGAACAGGCTGAAATGACAGTATTTTGGATATGTTGAGTTAAATAAAATGTTATTAAATTTAACTTCACCTGTTTTTTTACTTTCTTATAAAGCAGCTACTAGAACACTGATAATTACAATTACATATGTGGCTCACATTATATGCCTGTTGCATAGTCCTCGTCTAGAAAGAAACCAGGGCTTCAGCAAAGGGGCTCTCAGGAAACCAGCCTTTGAAATCCCAAACTTCTCACAAGCGGTTGCCCTAGGTCAGTGGTTCTCAACCAGGAGTAATTTTCCGCCGCTTGCCAGGGGACGTTTGGCATTGTCTGGAGACATTTTTGGTTGTTCCAACTGAAGGGCCCTACTGGCTTCTAGTGCATAGAGAACAGGGACACCGCTAAACATCCTAAAAAGCAGAGGACAGGCCCCGCAACAAAGAATTACCTGGCCCCAAATGTCTATAGTGATAAGGTTGAGGAACAGTCTACTTAATGATATTATCTGGTTGGATATGTTAAAAGATGACATTTATGGTGTCGCTTGTCAGCTAACCACTTACCGCAACAATGTATGATCATAAACTGTGATAAGAAGCATTCTGGGAGCATATACTACAAATGTGGCATCGAGAGGAAGTAAGAGGTCCTTGAGCTGTGAGCTGGGAAATGGCAGGGACCTAACTAGGCAAAGAATGGTGGAAGGACAAGGCCACCTTGCAGGCGGGGAGCAGCATGCGCAGGTACCGTGGGAGGGGTGGGGCGCTCCGGAGCCGGAGGCTGGAGCTGGGGGCAGGGAGGGGCAGCAGGCACAGCACGGGGCTGGAGATCAGGTTGGGAACTGGCTCATGTAGGGTCAGGCTTGCAGCTTGTTAAGGAATAATTCTCCCTGGTGACATTTCTGGAGAAATACCAAAATCCTGCGTGCGTGCGTGCGTGCGTGCGTACCTTTAAGTAATTGGGCTGTGGTAGAAGTGGTAGAAAGAAGAGCTCAAATCAAAATTCATCCCCCATTGAACCTTTTAGAAGCAGGGCAGGATACATGTTATAAACAGAGCAAGTCAGAGTATGCAATCACAGCCCTTGGTATCCAGATACTGCCTTGTCCAGGCTGCTCCAGACCATCCATATTCCAGATAGACTTCCAGCCTACACCACTACGTGGATAGGCTGGGTTGCACGAAAAAGACTGGGGTTGCTTTCTGAGATAGTTAATAAAATCAGCCTCAGCCAGCTCAAAAGCCTCTGGGGTATGGCCTAAAGGCTGCTGTGCAGATAGGGGCTTCCCAGGGACCCTTCCTCAGAGCCATGTTGGCTGTTAACTCCCAGGAAGGCCCCCATCGAGGCCAGCCCTGAGGGAGTATGCAAAGGCTGCCAACACCCTGAAAGCTGTCCTCAGGTCTCCTTTCTAAGGAGGGGGAGATGTCAAGATTGAGAACCTCCCACAGAAAACCCTATTGCCACTTACCTGCATATAGAACTAGTTTGATCAACTGTCGTGCCCTGACCAAACTCAATTTCCAAGAAGTTAGAGGCAAAACAGGCAGATGTCAATATATGGACACACACACACACACACACACACACACACACACACACACACACGAAGATGATAATTCAAAAAACAGGCACCCAAACTAGCTACAAGTAGCTCAGAATAGGCCAAATTCAAATAGTATGCTTGGTTTTAAGTGCATCACACTATTCAGACTGATTTCAGGAAGTTGGTCCAGATTGGCTCAAATCAGCATACACTGGCCCTTAATACGATAAGTGTTTTTAGCTCACCATTGCTTTCTTAGGACCAGTTCAGACTCATCCTAGCTAGTCATGGCCTGTTGAAGCCAGTCCAGGCTATTTGGAGCCAGCTGCGGTTCCCTGCTCCCCCTTGGCTCAGGAGGGGGTCTCCTTCCAGAGACCCTTTCCTATCACTTTGCCCCTGCAAGCTCTTCCTCCGCTGATTCCCATTTCCACATTCCCAGAGTAGGACTAGAAGAGACAATTTACCCCTACCCTTGCCAATTTTCCCAGAAAAAAAATAAGATAAATTCACTAAAACTCCTTGAATGTGTTACGTATACAGTGGAGCAAATCACAAGTCCATGTGCTTTGTGACACTGTGAAAGTTGCAATTTCTTTTTTCAAGATAGAAAATAAAAACATAAGACAGGTGCCTTCTGTCCTGGGAATAGGAGAGGAGGAGCAGTGGAGGCTCATACCATACCCTCAGGCCCACTACCACATTCTGGGCATCCTATGCCCTCCACGCTCCCTCCTCTGCTCACAGAGCCCCTGCGAGCACCTGGTTAGAACCAGACCTGGTTCCCCATCTCTCCAGCCATAGTAAGAACAGAGCCCTGGAATACTTTACCTTGATGCAGCCCCATCTGGCTGGGATTGTTCCCCTTTCTGAAATCCCACTGTACTAGGACTTAGGTCTTCAGAGACTGGTATGTTCTGTCAGTCTTGATAGAGGCTTATTGCTCTGGCCTTGCCCTAGTCCACAAGGATGAGGGATGGGGGGCAGCCCTGTCGCTTTATCTTCCGAAGAGCTCTTGACGCGGCCTGTCTCACTTACCCTTATGCCATCACCCACCCCCAGCCATCATCATCTCTCACCTGGACTTTGGCAATAAGACCGACTCCCACCCACCCTCATCCATTCTCCATTCCAAAGCCAGAGCTACCGTTTCAAATGTAAATCCAGCCATACATTCACCTCCAGCCTCTTCCCCAACTTGGAATCCTTCAGTGGCTTCCCCATTGCTCTTAGGGTTAAAATCCAAAGTCTTACCAAGGCCCACAAGACCCCTCTTACAGTCTAGCCAGTGGCTACCCCTCCAGCCTCCTCTCCCTCTCCAGGCTCCAGCCACACTGGCCTTCTTCCTGTTCTTCAACTGTTCCATGGGCCTCCTACCGCAGGACCTTAGCACACCATTTTCCCTATCTGGAATGCCTCTCTCTCTCTCTCTCTCTCTCTCTCTCCCTCTCCCCTTCTCCCCCCTCTCCCTACACACATGCATTCCTTGACTCCTACTCACCCTCCAGCTCTCAGTTCAAGTGTCACCAGCCAGGAAAGTCCTCCCACACACCCCAGTCTAAGCTAGGTCCTCTGCTGCAAGCTCTCCTTTCTTTACAGCATTTACCTTGGATGATAGATATACACTCCCAAATGGAATTATCTGATGGGTATCTGTCACTCCACTGGACTGAATTCCAAGAGGGCAGGAACCATTTCCGGTTTTGAATATCATTATACTTCAAGGCCAGGCACCTGAAGGAACTCAATACATACATTTTGAATGAATGAATGAATGAATGGTAGGGAAAACATTAGCCTGGGAGGCTGAAGAGCCATCTCTGCCCTAACTGGTCCAGGTCCTTAGGAAAGTCAGCCCCCCGCCCTTGACTGACTTATATATTGCAAATATTTTCCCAGTGTGTTGCTTGCCTTTTACTTTTCTATTAGGGTATTTTTCCCCCCAGATGTACATCAGTTTTTAACTTTTACGTCGCTATTCTATCAATATTTTCTTTCAAAGTTTCTGCCTTTGTTTAGAATATTTCAAAAATAAGATTGATGTTGCTATTAAGGAGGCTCCTTCTTTTAGAGGAAATCATGGAACTAATGGGCCATGCTATAGCAGTTTTAGCTATCTTTCCT